TATATTGTATTATTTCATATCTAAGTTTAAATTGAAAATATGTTTGATATTTTTAGATGTATCTGATAAATAATGTAAACATCTATCATACAGTGATAATTTAGGGTAAAATGTGAATGAGGATGCTTGTGGACTAGGATTTTAAATCATATTTTTAAAACAATAAGTAAAGTAAAAACAGTAAATAAACTAAGAGTCAATTTGAAATGAACTTTAATTCAGATCAGTTGAGTGATAACTGAGAGGAAAAGGATAAAACAAAGAGAAAATGAAAACCACAGCTGAAAGGTTTCTATTCATTTAAGGCTCCAAAATTCTTTATAATTTCAATAATTTTTTCAGCAGATGCATCATGTTGACAGAGACATTTTTAAACCCAGTTTAATGAATCAGTCAGTTAGAAACAGCTCCTGGATCGATCACATGACTGACTGGAAATGACACGCGCCACCGATGCATCAGTGTTGCTGGACCCATCACCACCATCAGCAGAAATGGCTTTCTGCAATTATCAAAAATTACAAAAAAAAAAGTCTGCCTGAGCTGTTAACACTTATGTCAATACGACTCATCAAGGAGAGAAATTTCCCTCTATACACATTTATATTTATTGTTTCTGGTATTTTAGGAAATCAGTCAGTTTTCCTGGATAGATTGATGTCTGTGGATTTCATGTCAGTAGTTCCCTGTTCATCATGGCATCCATAAAAATAAGGCAACATTTCTTCAAAGCTATAATTCATATTATACTACCAACCATAAAACAATAATAGTACATTTTCTATTGATTTACTACAGTTTACATATCAGTCTTTTCCCAGAAAGGTGCTGCACAGTAGGACATTGTAACACTAATTCTTCAGCATTTCTTCCCCCTAACCTTGTTTCTAAAAGTTTAAATCAGCAGTAAAGTTTAACAGCATCCATCTTTTAGTTCTCAGGCTCCTCTCCTGTGGAACCAACTACCAGTTTTAGTCCGTGAGGCAGACACCCTGTCTACTTTTAAGGCTAGGCTTAAAACTTTCCTTTTTGATAAAGCTTCTAGTTAGAGTGGCTCAGGTTATCCTGAGCTATCTCTATAGTTCTGCTGCTATAGGCTTAGACTGCTGGAGGACATAGGGACCCCTTTTTCATCATTCTGCTTCATTCTATCTCTATTCTCCCACTCTGCAGAATCTGTTAGTTCAATCTCTAACGTTCTGCTCTCTCTGCTTTTTCTCATAGTAGCTTCATCTGGTCTGTTCCTGTTTGGCTGTGACTCCATCCTGGAGAGAAACATCAGCTGTGCTGCTGCCATCAACACCTTTGTTTCTAGATGTTGGAGCTTGGCCTGTTTTCCAGTGTAGTCCTGTTTCTCTGACTGTGACTAACTGGATGTGCTCTCTTCATCCTCTGACATGGGAGCTGGCTCGGAGCTCGTCTGCCTGGCTGTGTGTTTCCTGGACGGGGCCGCCTGTGGAGCTGGTTGACAGTTGCCTTTAGTATCTATGCTTCTTTTTCTATGTCTGCTTCTGTCTCCTTGAACCCCAGTGGGCCTCAGCAGATGGCCGCTCACACTGAGCCTGGTTCTGCTGGAGGTTTCTTCCTGTTCAAAGGGAGTTTTTCCTCTCCACTGTCGCTACAAGCATGCTTAGTGTGAGGGATTGCTGAAGAGTCAATGAGTCGATGCAATGAACTGGTTTTCCTTAGATAGAAAACTTTGAATCAATCTGACTGGATGATCTGGGGAACTGGAAAGTGACCTGAGATGACATGATGTGAGTTGGAGCTATAGAAATAAACTGAATAGAATAGAATTGAATCCATCTAATTACAATAAAACTTTTTAACAATAATTCAGGATTTTATTCAACACTTAAACATCTTTTCTGTTACACATAAAAAGTTATCAACCTTAACATGATAAAAATGTAAACAGGAGTTTTCAGGTAAAATTCAGAATCAATAAAATATACGTGAATTTTCGAAAGATACAGCAAATACTATAAAAATATTTAAAAATATTGTACATATAAATGCACTCTCACAGTATTATTCAATATAATGTGGGAAGAAACATCCTTTTATACCACAGAGTTTAGTCTTTATCTCTGAGCCAAAATGGTTAAAATGAAAATAAAGAGAAATTCTTGGGTTTAAGGCGGTACATGATGCAGTGCATGAATACATGAAAAACAAACCAAATCGTTCAGTGCTAACTGTATCATGCGGCGTTCATCTGACAGCTCTCTGATTCATCACAGGTTAGTGATTTCAAACTGGACCAAGGCGGCGGCTGAAGCAGCTTCATGTAGCTCTCACTCAGCTCTGAAGGAACCAGTTATTTCACTCTATTGTTCATCATTTGGTTCCCCGCCTCAGGGCTGGTAGCCATAATAAGGGTCTTCTGGATGAAGAAGCACAAACAGAGAAAACGGGATAAAACTACTGACTGCAGAGAAGGTTCCAGACATCCAGGCTTCATTCCTCATCCGCTCCCAGCAGCTAACCTGTCTGTCCTGGAGCATTGTGACAGCCTCCACTGCTGTCACAAACCCCCCCAGGTCCAACCTCTCCCGGCTGACCAGGAGGCCCGGGGACCCCTGGTGGTCCTGGCTTGCCATCATTTCCTTTGGGACCTGGGTCCCCCAGCTTGGACTCCCCTGGAGGACCTGCACACATAGAATACACAGGCCTGTCAGATCATAGCAGCTTGCTGATGATCTGTTGGATTCTGGCGTCATAAAGTAAACCAAGAGCTCAAAGATCTGTACCTGCAAACCCTTTGACTCCTGAGGGTCCCTGGACATTATTTCCTGGATCCCCCTTTTCTCCTGGAATTCCTCTCCTCCCTAAGGAGAAAAGAGAATCAACTGAAAAGGAAGTCTTGCTGAGCAGATCTGATGAGACGGATCAGACCTTACCCTGCTCTCCTGGGTATCCCGGCCTCCCAGGTCTCCCTCTTGAGCCAACTTCCCCCTGGTTCCCCCTGGCACCTGGTGGGCCCCTGGAGCCTGGAATGCCAGGTTCCCCTGGGGGACCTACTGGCTCCTCAATAGGAACAGGTTTTCGACTGATCTCATTGATATAGGAATCAAGCTTTAACACCTCCTCTGGAAAAGAAGACCTCCGTTTTTATGTTGCTCTGACTAAAAACCAAAATAGATCACGGTGCTAGCTAGATGATAGCATTACCACTGCCCTGTTTACCAGTACTTACTGTGGACCAGTTGTTCACAGGCCTGTGTGACCAGCTGGTAGATCAGTGCCATAGACTGAGTTTCCCCCTGTGAAGAACCAGAACATTGACCAGCAGTGAGGCCAGGCAGCGACGGGCCCAGGGGCTACTAGCCAACTAGCTAAAGCCGGGCATACACTGTGCGATATTTTCAATCGTTGCACGCAGCTACAACTCAAATTGTATGATAAAACCGCAGAGTTTAAATGTTTACAGCTCATGATGTTTGTTCTCACACTGTGTAACCGACGCTTTGATGCGATCTACCTGCACGTCCAAAAACCACAGCTCAGACTCAGCGCCGAGAGATGGCGCTGGTCGGACTCATCTGTCTGGAAGAAAAACAAGAACTCTGTCGTTTGCTCAAGGTTCTGGTAAATCGGCTCATAGCTCTGCCTCAACAGCAGGATTTGTCCACGAACACCTCACAACAGCCGACTGAATTTCAAACATGTTTGATTTTCTCCCGACCTTATGATTCCTGATCGGGAGCTGATCGTGAGAGGCTGATCGGCCCTCGTTACTCCTTGTATAGCTACACTACGCAGGATGCACGATCTGGATGAAAGTCGGCCCGATGGAAAAAATTTGCACATGAGAATCGGCCCGAAAAGTGCAAAAAAGTGCTCTGTATGCTTTACCTTTACCTCACTAATGTATGTATGAATTATTGCTTGAATTAGTAAAACTTCTGGTAACCATTGAGAGGAACCTCACTGCAAGAAAAACAGACATTTCTAAACTAAAGCAGACAAACAGCTTAAACACAAACTTCTCTGCATTTTATGACTCATTTCCTTCTATGGAAATCAGGTGAACTAAAGGTGTCCAGCGTTGAAGCCTTAAGGTGTGTGATGAGTGAAGCCGGCACATTTTTGGAGAAGAATGTAAGATCCAACCTAGACCATATTCTAAATTTCTTTATTGGCATCAGAAAAAAAGTTTGATTATTTATTTAATTTAAAGCTTCATATAAGAAATAAAAATACAATTGGAGAAATGGGTCTTTCATACATTTAACAGATTACTATTCCTAAAGGTGGTTTTTCTACAAGAGGTCAGTGACTTATTGACTGATTTATAAATAAATTATAGGTTTATTATGTAGTTTATGGTCCAATTGCCTACATTTAATAATAGTAAGGAAACTGTGATGAAATGAAATGCAACAGTTTTCTTGAATATGTGAAGGGTTGAATAATGACTCTGCATATTTATGCACTTCCCTCTCCTTGGACTGCTGTTGAGAGACATAGTCCCTCCCGCATGTCCTGGGTCGTCTCCTGGTCACTCCTGAGGGAGGCGTCTGGGGGAAATCCGAAAAAAGATGTCTGAGCCAGCTGACTTCTCTCAATGTGGAGGAGAAGCGGCTCTACGCTGAGGCTTTCCCGAATGACCAAGAATTACCAAGTCCAACATACACTGGGAATAGGTCCGACCTAATGTCGCCAATGTCGACCATACTCCTGCTCTGCTTGTACAGAGACCTAACAGCCGTTAGTAAAGGGCTCATGACTCCATCCTCCTGAAGTGCCCCACAACAGGGCATCATGAAATGCCTTCTCCAGGTCCAGAAATCACATGTGGACTAGTTGGGCAAATCCTGAGCACCCTTGAGAACCCTGCAGAGAGTGAAGAGCTGGTCCAGTGTTCCACGGCCAGGACGAAAACCACACTACTCCTGAAGACGAGGTACGACAGTCAGCAGATCTCTGCAGGACTCTGGCATAGGCCTCCAGGGGAGGCTGAGAAGTCCCTCTATAGTTGGAATTCAGCCCCAAACACCCCGTCTTTTCTTCCACCATGGAAGGATTGAGCAGATCCTCTTGGTATGCCTTTCCGGCTGTCTGTGTGGTCGTCCTTCACGATTTGGTGCCGGGGCGCGTCATTTTTAAAAACCGAGGAACAACTACAATGAGCAACTACGAAGAAAGGTTAATCGGTCTTTTTGCCAACTCCGTTTATAGAACCTGTTCCTCTTCCATGTCTAGCAACTCTAGATCCATCTCAGTGACCGTCATATCTTGCAGACGCTCCATTGTTGTTTTGGAAAATACACACTCGGGCCGGCGCCACCGAAATTCTCTTGACCATCCACCAAAGACTGCATATTAGTTAGAATTGTTATCACTTTTATCTTCAAAAAAACCTTAAAGCTGATAAGTGATTGAAACAAAGTCCAAAGTTAAAATCCCATAGAACATTTTAGCTGCAGGTTACTCTGCTGGAACAGAAAAGCTTTCAGTTTCACACATCAACGTATGAAACACGGTGCGCCATATTTATCTACTCACAATCACTTTTTCAAAGACATTTTCACCATGTAACCTGCGAAGGTCCAGGATAAACTGAATAATGATTCTTTCAGCATGATCTCAGAGTTTGGTTTAATGGTTACCCACCTTTTCCCCTCGCTCCCCTTTGTTTCCTGGCAGACCCTGTGAAGTTGAACATACGTGAGTGTAAACTGGTAGTTGATCATATGTGAAGACAGGCTGGACTGTTTGGTGTCTTACTGTTGGTCCAACAGGTCCAGAAGGTCCTCTCTCTCCCATGAGTCCTGGGTGTCCAGGAAGTCCTTGAAAACCCTGAAAATCAGAAAATGTTTCAGTGGAAACACAAAAAGAGAAAGAAACAGACATTTTGGGGAAATCTGAGGCCTTTAAGATAAAGTCATGTTTTTTTTTATCACACTGGGGGGAAAAAAAGGAAAACTGATCAAATGTCCATTTAGTAGATCTATTTTTAAATTTAAAAAATATTATTTCAGGCCATTAGGACTAAACAACTTGGTTTTACTGATTAAAAGTAGCATATTTAAGGCTGATCATTCATACATTATTCTAATTCAAAGTAAGAAATAAAAATGAAAAGAAAAGAGTTTTTTAATGCATATTTCATCAAATATTTGTTTTCATCTTCTGTGTTCTGGGTAACATTTCCAAGCTGTCAGGAAGCAGGGACATTTCTCTGTCTTACCCTGGCTCCAGTGACACCCGGGGAGCCAATGTTTCCTTCCACGCCTCTGATGCCCTGAAAACCACAGAGAGAGACAGGCATAGAGAGGGGCGTACCGACAACACTCTGCTGGAGGACCTGCGGCATGCTGGTGGAGATTCTCAGTCATCCAGGTCATAGTCATTCCAAAAAAAGTTAAAAACGATCCACTGGACTTGGTTTCCAAGTCTAGTGGATGGACTCAGGTTTCAGCTCTCTAAAAAACCTACAATGAAGCAAAAGAGTTGATTCCTTTTCACTATCATTTCAACCCCCACCCCCATGCAGGAGACAAAACATGTCGTCTGGGCAACAAAGCCAATAATTGCCCCCAACGACCCCCCTTTCAGAGGCGTAGACCAGTATCGGGTATTGGGGGCTAAAGGCCAAAGAACCCAAACTGACTCCCTTTCCTAAGGAGCACATTCGTACTTCTGGTTGCATGTTTCGTAAATCCCGGCGTACACTGTGCATTTTTTTTCAATCGTTGCGCGCGGCTGCTGCTCACACTGTACGACTAATCGCAGGGTTTAGTCGTACAGTGTGAGTCACAGCTCACGATTTATGTTCAGCCCGACGCTCTCATGCGATCTACCTGCTCACACTGTACGACTAAAAACCAGGTAGGACTCAGCTCTGCAGTGAGATGGCACTACTCTGTAGCTCTCTATCCTGAAGCCAAACAAATAGAAGAGGAATATTAAGCTCACTATAGTGAATGTAGCTACCCTGGCAATTTGTGCAATTTTGTGCTGAAAGTCCTAAAAAAGAAAAAGCAACGACGTATTTGGAAAATGGCTGAGGAATCGTGGTACTACGGTCCGTCAATTTTACAGACAGAACTGTATCTCTGCCATGCTGCTGTGTTTACATCTGAGAGGAAAAAGAAGAATCTTTCTTTGCTTCCTGAGTGATTTGCCCACGTCGGTCAGGAGAACATCAAACATGTTTGATATTCTCCCGACCTTACGTGATCGTGAGGCGGTCGTGGGAGGCTGATCGCCGCTCGTAACCCCCTGTACACCACACGACTCACGACCAGGCTGAAAGTCGGCCCGATCAAAAAATTCAAGCACGACTGGAAAATTGCCCCGAAGAAACAAACATCTTAAGCCAAAACAAGTTTTTGGGCTACTATATAAAGCTTCAACCTCGATGCTAATTCTGAACTGAAAAAGCTTCCTGGATGAGAAGTGAAACGTCTTTAAACTTGGAAACCAAGTCGGATTTCTTGTTTTTACTTTTTTTGGAGGACCTGGTACCTTCCCCTGGAAGAAGGAGCTCACCTGGGGGCCAGGGATCCCCTCCTCTCCCTTTGGACCTGGGGGTCCAGGTAAACCCTACAGAGGAAGAAGTTTAAGGCCAGACAGGAAACCTTTCAGTGTGCATGTTGTTGATGTTTCATATTTTATGTAAATACCATAAATACAGAAATAATCAGTGTTTTCTGAACAGTAACAGATTCCCAGCATTACTCACTTGGACACCAGGCCTCCCAGGATCTCCCTTTTCCCCCCTTGCTCCTGGTGGACCCTGTTTGGTCAATGTTAGAAAGACATGGAAATTGTTTTTTTAATGTTTTATTAATCCAAACCAAATCCTCCATCATTAGTTCTTCAGTCACCATCAGAGAGTAACTGTAAATCAGGACTTACCATTTTGCCTTGGACTGCTATGCCTCGGGGCCCAACGCTGCCCACAGGTCCAAGACCCCCTTGGAACCCAGGCTTCCCTGGGGGGCCTTCCTCCCCCTGACAGTCGGCATAAAAACAGCCTCAGATTAGGCTAACAACATACTGTCAGAATTTGCCCTGAAAAAGGAAGTTGAGTGGAGAAGCGAAGGTTGACTCAGCAGAGACACTGAGTGGTCCCGCTGCAGCTCATCCTGCTGCTGAGTGGACACACCTGTCCTCTGAGACAGGGACAGGAAGACAGAGACATTCCACATTCGTTGAGCAGTAAAAACAAGGAGAAATGAACTTCAGGGTTTTTCTCAGCGCTTTGCTCTAACTGATGGAGCTGACAGATGGATGCTAGCTGGCATAAGTGGGCAGAATATCCAATTATCAATTTCTGCCACTAGATGTCACCAAAGCCTTCAAAGTGGAACACCAACACCCCCTTCTGACCAGCCCACCTGTCCTTTAGCTCTCACCTTGTCAGAGTTTGCTGCTCTGATCTCGCTCAGGATGCAAATAAACCTTCTGTCCCATTTCAGGTCATCCTTCGTCTGATTAACCTGGACGCTGATGCTTCTGATGTCTTCCTGTCATTTTGAATAAATATTTATACATGCTGATGAAAAAATGCTACTCCATTGCTTACTGTCAGGGTTCTGCCCTCTGCTTGGGTTTATTTTTAGTTTCTTCGTCTTCTGTCTCTCCATAGTCTATTTCTACCAGTACTGAGTTCTTTAGTTTCTATCTGTTGCCCCATTGTGCTTATTTCCGTTCCCCTTGGCTTCCTCCTAGTTGGTCCTGTCCACTCCCAATATATCCCAATATATACACTCCACCTCTGCAGTCACTCAGTGCTGGTTTGTTGTTTTGTTCAATTCAAATCTATTCAGTTTATTTCTATAGCTCCAATTCCCATCATGTCATCTCAGGTCACTTTCCAGTTCACCAGATCATCCAGTCAGATTGATTCAAAGTTTTCTATCTAAGGAAAACCAGCTGATTGCATCGACTCATTGACTCTTCAGCAATCCCTCACACTAAGCATGCTTGTAGCGACAGTGGAGAGGAAAAACTCCCTTTGAACAGGAAGAAACCTCCAGCAGAACCAGGCTTCCTCATTGCTTCCTCGTCTCTGGCTCCCCACATGGGTTTTCCCAGATTTTATCTGTATTTTGGTTCTCAGTATTTTTGCCTCTGCTGCCTTTGACTACCTGATTAAATCTACAAAACTCACCTCTGCCTCCTGATCTCTGCATTTAGGTCCTCAAAAACCTCCACTCAACATGACATTTAGTCTTTCACTGACTTAAACCTCCACGGTTAATCAGAGCATTTACCAGAGAACTGCTACATCCTTGCTGTTTGTGCAGCTTTAATTCTTACTGTCCAGTTTTCTCCTCTTCATAATCAAAGATTCTCTGTGATCTCTGATGTAGGAACAGCTGAATTTCTGTCAGATCTGCTTCCATGACCTGTGTTGTACATCGATCCTATTTTTTCTAATCAAGAAAATACTTATTTTTTCGACCAACCTCGGATCATTTAGTTGACCGTTCAGTTAGGTGAACGTCCTAACTGAGCAACATGGATTCAAAGCACACACATTCAGCTGGTCAGCAGCACTATAGACTTAAATCACATATTTATTTAAAGAATCTAATCTGGCATGTTTTAGTTCAGTTGCTCCTCTCCAGCAATCTTTGGGCAACCGAAGCAAAGGGACAGACTGTCAGTCGATAGCAGGGAAAAGCACAGAGACACAAACGATGAAGAAACCCTCTAAACACCCACATTGACCCTAAGGAGCAACCTGCAGTCACCAGGCTGGAGTAGAACACCCAAACTCCTGGTAGGAAGATTGTTGCTACAAGGATAAAGTCCTGACAGCAGTGCAGCTCCGCACTGAAAAATACTACAGGAAATGATCAAAAAGTCCAATGGAAAAAGAGAGAAAACCTTCCGACGCCATCAGCTGGTATGTTTACTTAAATTGGAAGGGAAATCATATTTAAATGTCAAATCATTCTGGCTTGAACATCTATATAAATGTTCTCTTTATCAGACCATATTGTCCCAAAAACCAGAAAACCACAAATTAAAAAAAATCCTGTCCTAAAATCTATGTTTTTTATTTTTCATTATTTTCTGCAGGTCAGTTAGTTCTACGTCAGCCTGAACATCTAAATTTCGCCAATCATATATCAACGCTCATCTGTCAATCAAATTTTTTCAGTCATAGCATCTTGATTCATGTGTCGCAGCTAATATACGCAGCGGTTGAAACCAGAATCCTTTCCTTTCCCATTGAGTTGCGTCCCAGTGTTCACGGGGATGGACGTCTGTGTCTTCGGCAGGCGTAGAGCTAACAGAACTGGCAGCGTTGCGAGGCAAGGGCTCAAACATGTACGGCTGGAAGCCTTCTACACCAAACCAAGCTTCTGCCGCCCTGGCGTCCTCTTCCACAACATCTTCGTCCCCGCTTTCCTCCTCTAAATAAAAAATGGATGACGGAGGAGACTCATCCACGACCTCCGACACTAAACTCTCCTCCTCTTGCATGTTTCCGCTGTCCATAGCGTTCCTTGACAGCGTCGTTTCTAAGGCACCAATTTAGTGCTACTTGGTCCCAATGGAATTTCCCATTGGGAACCTGCTAGCACTAAGATGCTAACTGGTTAGCAAGATGCTTTCAACAAACCGACCACAACCAAAAGGCTTGCAAACCTTCCACCACAACAATCCCTCCCCCTTGATAATCGACCAATCACATTCACTTTATTCACTCGTGTAAAATCATGCACCACTCGGAGAATTTGGAAATGCAACGGTTGGAACAGCTGCTTCCCTACGACTTTAAAGATAACAGCTGCATAAGGTTAAACCGATTAATTCCAAAATAGTTAAAATCAATCCACTGGACTTTGTTTCCAAGTTTGAAGACGTTTCTCTTCCATCCAGATTCCAGCTTTCAGAAACCTCCAATGCAGCGATAGAGTTGATTCCTTCCCGCTATCATCACAGCTCCAACCCCCTTACAGGAGAACAGAAGACCTCACCTATTCATCCAGGCCAACTATTCCCTTTAACGACCCCCCCTTTCAGAGACATAGACAGGTATGGGGCATTGCAGGCTAACAAAGAAGCCAAACGACCCCCATTCCTAAGGGGGGGACCCGTTCATCCGTTTCTATTTGCATGTTTTCTAAACTAAAACCAGGCTTTGTTGGGCTGCTGGATAAAACCTGGAACTAAACGCTATTTCTGACATTTTGGATTGAAAAATCTTCCTGGATGGAAGAGAAACGTCTTCAAACTTGGAAACAAAGTCCAGAGGATTGATTTTGAGCTTCTTTGGACTGACTCTGACCTGGATGACAGAACCTTCATCAGCATAAGGTGAAACAGAGCAAAGCCGCTCCTCTAACAGAGTTAATGCTGTGATCCAGCAGAAGATTTAAGCTGAGCTGTAAAAACTCCCATCAGGACAAAATCTCTGTCATTGATGATGGGATAACTGGGACAGAAAGGTAGACCAGTACACTATAGGTAATGGTTTGGTGGATCCATACAAACCACCCAGAAATCCCCTAAACTATTTTAATGGTAAATCCATTAAAATGTTAACAGTATAAAATCCAACATATTAACATTATATTTCATATTCATCCATTACAGATAGTTTGCATCTCTACTGGATCAGCTTCAAACATGGCTGCTCTTATGGCTTCACTGCATGGAACATATCTAAGGTTATAGGACTGAAATGTACCCAGAAACATTAAGCAGACTTTACTTTACTCCTCTTGGAGTTTTATAACATATAAACTGGATGGACATCACTGATAAACTTTAGTGAATTTACTTAAATGAAGAAAGGAACCTGAAAGCTCACCTTTTGGCCTTGCTCTCCCCTATCTCCCTTCTCTCCACGAGGACCTGGTCTCCCCTGTGAGGAAACAGACTTTATTAATCATCAGAAATATGCCTCTTTATTTATGACTCGGCTGAAAGTAGCGGAGGTGACATACGGTTGGTCCAGGAGGACCCGGAGCCCCAGGAATGTTGGAGGAGCAGGAACATGTAAACGGCTGTGCAGGACAGCTCTCCTCATCTCTCTGGGACAGAGAGAGTCCAGAAAGGGTTAATGTCACCTGCTGATGCTGAATGTTGCTTTAGGAGGAGAAACATCGTCTCCGACCGGGTCAGTCCGCCTTATTTCACACGGAAAGCTGCCCTTCAATCAAGAAAGGAAAGATGGAGGCAGCACTTACCGCTGCAGGAAGGTCACAGCAGGTGTCCGCGGACGCCCAGCTGGTGTTACAGACGATCTCAAAGGACTGCAGCTGAAACTGGACACAGCGGCAGAAAAACAAGCATTGGACGCACCTGCAGGACCAGCAGGTTGTTCTGGTCCTTCACAGACAGACTGGGAATCTCCCGGAGGAGGAGTCGGAGCCGTACCGGGGCGGAGCCGCTGTTAGGTCCTTTGCTTCTCACCAGTTTGCCCAGCATCTCGAATCCATCGGTCGGCAGGTTCCCCAGAGGACGGGCGGGCCTTTCACCCACAGGCTGACAGTCCACCGACAGGGAGACGCTCACCTGGCTGACAGACAGGTGGACCTGCCAGAACCAAGAACAGGAAGTAGCTCCGTTTCCAGGGGGAACCAAACTTTTCACCCATTAAATCACCTTTTAGAGCATCTCCATCTGTGGAAGGATCTGATGAAGGTTTGGCTCTGGAGCATCTCACCTTGTGAAAACTTCCATAGAAGATCTTGTGGACCTGTGGCTGATCAAAGGTGAGCTGCTGAACTTCTCCCCTGTAGTCCAGACTGAAGTACATCAGGTGTTTGGTAGACGCTGTGAACAACATCAGACTAGTTGTCATCATTTCAAAGCTTGCTGTACTGCTCTAACCAGCTCCTGTCAGATGAGCATACCCATAGTCCAAACCCATTTATCCCATTAGTTTTGTATGAGAAATAGACTTTAAACTACCCCAACAGGCGTGTTTCCCTTTAGTCATGTACAGAAAAGAACTATTTATTACTTGCTTTTTGGTGTTTTTTGAAGCATATGGTGATCTGACAAACCTGAAGGGATAACCGTAAATCTGACGTGTTGTGAATGTGTATTGACTTTGGGCATGATGGTCTGACAGAACATCTCTGTAGCTTTTGCTACCGGCTCGGTTTGGCGTTTTGGCATCATGCTCGTTCTTCGGGTTTGAACAGTTGACACGTCGGCAGGCTGTCAAACTCATACCGGCAGTGAATTGTTCAGTGGAGGAGGCAGCCTTAGCTGCAGGAGGAGTGGTGGGTCATCATAGTGTGGAATCTGCTTCCCGTATGAATGGAGCGATTGAGATTTTTCTTGATAACATCTAAAGTGAATGATTTGGTTGAAAGGGGCGTGGTCATTCATGACACCTTCACGCCGCTTCTCCCGCTGGTTACTGCAGTTAAAAAGATCATCACCTCAAATGAACCTCCGTTTATTAAACATGGTCTCCTTGTTAAAGAGCTGTCCCGCTATGGACAACTAGTTTCACCCATAAAGATGGTTCCTTTGGGCTGTAAATCTGCGCTTCTCAAACATGTTGTATCACAGCAGACAGGTATTTATGATCCTAAAAGACACAGCTACCGAGCTTAACCCGTCCTTTAATTTCAGAGTCGAAGGGTTTAATAATGTGGTTTTTGCTTCCTCCGAGAACACGAAATGTTTGGGCTGTGGTGCAGAAGGTCATATATCCGATCGCGCCCAGAGAGGCTTACGAACACACGCTTGGTGAATGCGGGTCGTGGTGGCGCAGGTGATTTCATGGCAGTCGGTGCAGGTGTTGATGTGGCTTCAGATGATCCTCCTGCTGCTCCTGCAGAGGAACAGTCTGAAGTGCGATGCTTGACAGACTCTGATCATTCTAATTGTAGGAGCCATATATACACTTTTGGAATTGATAAGCATCTGTAATTGAATCGTTGTTAAGCTTATGACGTGGTGCCTTTTGATTGGTTTTGGAATAATTGGTTTATGAAAGAAAAAAGGACTTGCTCTTTGTAGAAGTTTGGCACCTTAGGAGAAACACAGTCTTTTGACCGTCAATTTATTTGTTTTGAATCTGCTTGTTATTTTATTTATTTTAAATTCAGTAAAGACCTAAAAAATACCGTCGGATTCAAGACCTCCTTTTTTCAAGAAGAAAGTCTTGCGTTCGAAAGAGCTTTAAGGGGCTAAACTAGTGAGGCTTGCCGCACTTACACTAATGATGCTGATATCACTGACTGTGACTAGTTTTGAAGCAGATTCAGGGGAAATAATAACTGATAGAGTTTTTGAATCTGTCCCAGAAGGCTGCAAGCAGCAGCATTAAAGCTCTCAGAGCTAAGAGAGCAAACAAAGCAGGAGGACAGTCTGATAGTAGCCTGTCTTTGATTCAGGATCAGCAGAATCTCTGTCATCCTGCTGAAATTAAGACATTTTTACAAAAAACTAAAGGACTGAGGGTTAAAGTGGAGGAATATTTCCCAGATTTAAAACCATTTGTTGAATCCTCTCGGCCTTTAACAAAGAAAACTGGACATCTTGTTGATGACGTGTTAACAGATCAAGAACTTTATCGCTTAAAGAAACTGATTTTGAAAGTCAGAGCCAAAGCAACTACTGCTGATGAAGATGAGGATATTTAGAGAAATATTTTATGTTTCTTTGTGCCTTTTCGTTTGTTTCTTTATCTCTGTCTTTAAATATAAATGGTGCCAGAGATGAAGTGAAAAGGGCTGAGTTCTTTAGATTTATCACTCTAAAGAAAATGTATATAGTGTGGAGAGCTTTCAACAGGAATCAGAGACGGTATACATGGTGTCATTCTAATGATAATATTTTATCTTTAGTGAGATTAGACCGTGTATATGCATTTAAGCATCATCTCAATGTATTTAAGAATTGTCAAATAATTGCTGTTCTGATCACTGTCTGGTTTGTTGCTCTGTATTTATTAAAAATGTTCATTTATAGAGAGTCTACTGGCATTTTAATACAGCTCTTTTAAACGATAGAGCTTTTAGGGAAGCTTTTGAGTGTGTCTGGATCAGTCGTAAACAATCAAAATCTTTCTTTTCTTGTGTCCAACAATGGTGGGATTATGGTAAATGTCAAATTAAGCAGTTGTGCCAACAGTTCACTCTTAACATCACTAGAGACATAACCAGATCTATGAAAGACTTGGAGACTCAGATAGTAGAGCTGCAGGGTTTGGGCAGCTTCTACAGGAAATCGAGGGTTTTTAGATTCCCTCAAAGCTAGAAAGGCCGTTCTGGCCGACCTGTTGGGACCAGCAGCCAAAGGAGCCAAAGGAGCGCTGGTCAGATCACGCTTCCTAAGTGTAACAGAGATGGAGGCACCGTCTCATTTTTTCTTTGGACTAGAAAGAAAGATTGTTCCCTCCCTAAAGACTGACTGTGGTTCTACCATCTCAGGTTCTTCTGAGATCAGGAAGTTTGCTGCCAGTTTCTATAAAGATCTTTTTAGAGTGAACATTTGGTGAATCCAGGTGTGAGCGATGGTTTCTACGAAGGTCTTCCTCAGGTGGATGCTGAAGCTAATTAAAAACTGGAGGCTCAGGTCACACTGCATGAATTGCATGCTGCCTTGATGAGCCTAAAGAACAGTAGATCCCCTGGCATGGACGGTCTTCCTGTTGACTTCTACAAGTCCTTCTGGTCTGTGATTGACGAGGACTTGCTGGACATGATCATAGACAGCCTGCAAAGAGGTTGGCTGCCTCTGAGCTGCAGACGGGCAGTCGCTACTCTGCTTCCAAAGAAAGGAGATTTACAGGATCTAAAGAACTGGCCACCAGTCTCTTTACTCTCTACGGACTACAGGGTTCTTTCCAAAGCTCCCAGACTTAGAGAAGTTATGTCTACAGTTATTGACAGACTAGGCGTATTGTGTGCCTGGCAGGCTGATAAGGGATAATGTCACTCTAATCAGGGATGTTGTGGAAATCTCCAGCTCATTGAGCATAGATATTGGTCTGATTTCTATAGATATTGGTCTGATTTCTATAGATATTGGTCTGATTTCTATAGATATTGGTCTGATTTCTATAGATATTGGTCTGATTTCTATAGATATTGGTCTGATTTCTATAGATATTGGTCTGATTTCTATAGATCAAGAAAAAGCTGTTGACCGGGTTGAACACCAGTATTTGTGGCAAACTTTGGCTGCTTTTGGTTTCAGCCCTGGTTTCATAGCTATGATCCAGGTTTTATATCATGACAATGCGAATGTTCTTAAAATAAATGGAGGCTTAAAGCTCCTTTCAATGTTTCCAGAGGTGCGAGGCCAGGCTGTTCTTTATCAGGGATGCTTTATTCTTCAGCAATTGAACCTTTGCTTGATAAGCTGCAGAGATGGGAAGTAATGAAGTACAAATACTTCGTTACTGTACTCAAGTAGATTTTTCTGATATTTTTACTTTACTTTACTACTTATTTTTATGGTGACTTTTTACTTCTACTCCTTACATTTTTACACAAATATCTGTACTTTCTACTCCTTACATTTTAAAAAATTGTCTCGTTACTTTAGTTTTGAATCATTTCAATGGAGTTACCGTTATTATTTTTCACGTCATCAATACCAAATTCAATCTAATTGGATGGGAATCTACGTTGCATTTGACGCACCACTACAAGATGAATCGACAGATTCGGCGGTATTCATTGGCGGCAAATCATTGCAGCTTGGTGGCGGTGGCGTTAGCATAGTAGCATGGACGACGAGATGATTGAAAATGAACACAACGGAGATCTAGTCCTATTGGCAGACATCCATTTAAAATGTAGGCAACGGCATGAAAAAAGTGGTTTCTACTTTTACTTTTTTACTTTAAGTAAATTTACAAGCCTGTACTTTGTTACTTTTACTTGAGTAAAGAAGTTTAATCAGTACTTCCACTTTTACCAGAGTATTTTTTAACACAAGTATCTGTACTTTTACTCAAGTACGGAAAGTGAGTACTTTTGCCATCTCTGATAAGCTGAGGAAAGTTTTCTGTGGTGTTTCTATTCCTGGGTGTCACGTCTCTTTAAAACTGTCAGCTTATGCTGATGATTTAATAGTTTTTTTTTAAACAAACAGGAAGATATTGATGTTTTAGTCAACATTTTTTTATTTTGGTTGTATCTCTTCTGCAAAAGTAACCTGGAGAAAGAGTGAGGCTGTAACTGTAGGAAGCCGGTTGGGGGATCAACCTTTGTGCAAAAAAATTGGGAAAAAGTATTGGATAAAGTTAAGGGTTGACTTTTGAAGTGGAAGTGGATTTTACCTAAAATGTCATATAGAGGACGAGTTCTTGTCATTAATAACCTAGTTTCTCCCACCATGTGGCACCGGCTGATGTGTGTTTATCTTCCAGTTTTATCAAAAGTTCAAAGGGTTCTCGTTGATGTTTTTGGGATAAACTTCACTGGATTCCTCAAAGTATCCTGTTTTTGCCGAGAGAAGAAGGTGGTCAAGGCCTGGTCCACCTGGCCAGCAGAGGTGCTGCTTTTTGTTTTCAGTTTATTCAGAGACTGCTCACTGGACCTGCAGATCTGGTGTGGAGGAGGTTATCTTGCTGCAGTCTTCTGGACGGATTTGCGTCTCTTTCTGATGGACTCTAGAAACTCTAACTCTTCTCTTCTTCCAGTTTGTTATAAGAGTATTTTCTCTGTGGTCTTTGCTGAGGAAGGAGAGACAGCAGCAGGCTGAGTCTCTACACTGGCTGCTCCAGGAACCGGTTCTGTTTGGGAGTTTGTTGGATTCTCCTACTTGGGGGGCAACAACCTGCCCCAGACTGATCCACACTGCACGTTTATTGCCTTGGGAGGGTGGTGGAGCTGGCTGGACCTCGGCTGGATGATCCTGTTACGCTCGCTGCCTGTTTGGGAATAAAATCTGTTCAATTTGTCGCTCAGCTCTTGTGCTTCTGGAAGCACAAGTTAAGTGAACATGAATGTTCACTTTTGGCTGATTATCATGAGGGTTCTGTGTCACCAAATCACTTGGATCCTTTTCCATCCTTCAGACTGTTTCCTGGGATAAAGAACTGCTCTGGCCCTTTTTTGGATTCAGTGGACAATAAAGGAATTTCCCTAGAAGGAGCTTCTGGAAAAGTTTTCTATAGAATGATTGTTAAAACTCTCAATCAACACAAACTGAATGGACGCAGTGACACAGTACGGAAAACTAATTTCTCCTTAAAACCTGAATTCAAACCTGAATGGAAATCGTTGTTTACGCCTCCTCTAACGAAAAAACATGCAGATTAACAATGGAGAATCCTTCATGGTATTGTAGCTGTTAATTATTTAGTTTCTGTTATTAATCCTCCTGTGGAAGATAAATGTCCATTTTGTGAACAGAGAGAAACAGTTTTTCATTGTTTTTCTGACTGTGTTCGTCTGTCGGCTCTTTTTGTGCTTTTCAGAACTATTTTCAACAGATATGGTGAAATGTTCACTAAACACAGATTTATTTCTACATTTAGATTCAGACGCCAAAAAAAAGGCAAATGTGAATTGATTCATTTATTTTTGGGACAGGCTAAAATGGCCGTGTACAAAAGTAGAGGAAGGTGGTGGAAGATTTGAATATTGACTTGGTTTCCTTCTTTATTAACCTGGTGAAGTCTAGGCTATTACTTGAATTCAATTTTTACAGATCAGTTTCAGATTTAGATTCTCTTTGTCGCATCTGGAGTTATGAGAAGGTAATTTGTAGATGGTAGGAGGAGAAATTATTTTTGGAAAAGTGTTAATGTAATATATATTTTTTTCTTTTTGTTGCATTTTTCTGTTACATAGTTTGTGATACCATGTTGATTATTTATTGATAATAAATGAGTTGTTAAAATCTAAAATCTCTCTCTCTCACAGTCTCACTCACACTCATACACATCAGGAATTTTAAGCTTTTAACACTAGAAGTCCCCTATAGTTCCAGTTTTCCTGCAAGCCCCCCTCCCCTCTTTAAGTTTGAGTATTCACTCTACCTTGCTAACTGTCCTTGTTGTAATGCTAATAACCTGTGATGTGACCAGCTCTTCTACAGGAGGCTGGATAAAGGCTGAAACAATCGTGATATCTAAGGCCCCGTCCACACGAAGTCAAAACGAACACGAAACGCTGATATTTTCCAGAACGTTTGTCGTAAAGACGGAGACGTAAAATAAATGTGATCGTCCACACGAATGCATGAAAACGCTGCAAAATATATGCCAGGCCTGTAAGTGGCGCTGTGGTGCCAAAGCAAAAACAGGCGACGAAATGTTGGGCATGCGCAGTAATATTTATACATGGTTGCCCTGCGGGTCCATTTTGGTGGTTCAGTCAAATTCAGGTGCTGAACTATGTGGTCGATATTGCTCTGTTCTTCCTGGAGATATTCCAGAAGAAGAATATTCTGTTGTAAGCCCGACAGCAGGGTGAGTAGCATTAGCAGCAACCATTCAACACAGTACGGCGCCATTGTTGTGATACTGTGTCGCGCATGCGTGTTTAGAGGCGACGCTATGACGCATGCGTGTAAGAAAAAAAATGCGGTTAGAGCTTAAAGATGGAAACGCGAAAACGGCGTTTCGAAATCTTCCCACTCTGAAGGCTGAATAAAAAAAAGATTGTTTACAGACCCCCGAAACGCCGGCTTCGTATGGATGAGAGGCTGGTTTGGTGAAAAATTAGTGCGTTTAGGCCAGGGTTTGACTTCGTGTGGACGGGGCCTAAATCTTTTATTAAGGCAAACCTATTGATCAACCAGATATCATAGGGTCCTAGTTCCTGAGCTGAGAACAGGTCATAACCAGCTTTTCCAACAAGGCAAGGCAGAGCCTATTTATATCATCCATTCACCAACAGACTCATTTATATTGCAAAGCTCACTATGTGAAAGAAACGTAGAGAATAATTGTATTTTGTCTGTTCTCGCTTTTTCACGTCATTCAACATTTCAGCTTAGAAAATGACAAACAGTCTGATTTCAGTATAGTAGTAACATTTATTCCACCAAGGAAAATCTCTACATATGAAGCTACAATTGTCCCATTTAGCAGTTTCTACAAACCCAAGGTGAGTCCTTCCTGCATGTGTGACAGGTATACTTTGAGCAGTGAACACAACGCTCAGTGCTGTGGTTCCTGTTGCAGAGATTGAACACCTGGCCTGCTCATAAAAAAGGGTTAGGGTTAGGGTTAACCCTAAAAATCCAAAAAAAAAATAGAGTTCAGTACATTTTCCCAAAGTAAGAGTTGTAGTCTGACAGAGTCTTAGCAAGAAGTTTTTATAAGGGTGGCCAGGCAATAACCAATGTACGTTGAGGGGTGGCCGAAGGTGGACAGGCGCCAGAACCTCAGGATTAAGGGCTGGTTATACTGCAGCAGTGTGTGGCACTGAGCTTGACGCAGACATTTTTGATCTATGTTCAATTTTGAGCGTGGTCTGTGCTACACACTGTGGGTCTAGATATGGCTGAGGATGTGAGGAAGAGGGGGCAAGTTTGTCCAACAACGGAGGGACATTAGGGCCAAAAAGAGCAGAGATTCAGGTGGAAAAAGGGTCCCAGCACTTTCGCATTCACTGCGACCGCTACACAGAGCACCTGGTTTCAGTCTTTAAGCTACACTGTTCCAACCGGATAATTAAGGAGCACAACATCCATGTTTTCTAAATGAAGACAAACTACAGCCTTTGCTAACAAATAGATGCATTTATAGTGGATACAATTCTTTCAGGTTTAAGTTCTGGGGCAAACATATTTTCCATTCTTATTACTTATTTTTATCAATAATCATTCTACAAATAAATGAATGATTTAAAAAATGATTTACAAGTAAAAATATCTACATAAATTATTTAATATGTTTTTATTAAAATAGTTATTTATGTATGATTTCACTGAAGACTCTTAGATGAATTGCAGACATAATTTTCTCTTTGCCCCCTATAACACAAAATCTAGTTCTGAAAAGAGCACGAATTATGTACTTATCATTAATTTCAGTATATTTATGTGCATATATTTATAACCAAACACCTAGTCCCTATCTCTAGAAAAAGGATCTAAAAATAAAATTAACGTTAAATTAAGTGTATTTACCCTTAATTTGAGCTGGTAAATAAGACACTTAGCCGATGTATGAAAAATCTGGCAAAAACGCTGGCATAATGTTGGGAGCTGGAGAAGTACCACCTTCCTCCAGCAGAGTCCGCCGTGGGTCCTCCTGAGTCGAGCCTCCTGCACAGCTGAAGCTCATCCCATCATTAGAGGATCCACAGTACTTAAGCTGTCTTCAGACCTTGCCTCAACGCCGCAGTGTTTAATCCAGTTGGTTAGCACCTAAGCCTAGTATCTCTGAGAACCTTCGTTGACCTTTTGAATCCAGATTGGATTCTAACCTTTGTCTCTGCTTTCAGGAAACCTGTTTTTCTCCTGTGAAGCTCAGGAAGAGCTTAACCTGCCGAGCCAGCCCTCTGAGCCAAACCTGAAGCCTCTCTCTGGATTCCCATGCAGCTCTGGACCAAGAGCTGGAAACTCAAAGCCAAGGTCAGCTCACTCTCAAGAAGTAAGACGCTGAAGCAGCTAACAGACTCTGCTGATCAAACCATCTCCGGACCCAACAGTTTCCCTCTCAAGGCTCTAACCAAGAACCCTCAAGGTACAAATCTGAAACTGTCTGAATCAAACTCCTCTGATCAAACGCTAACTGAACTGTCTCCCACGCAGACTCCAGTGAACCAGTTCCCCAGGCCTGAACCAGAACCAATGATTCATATTGTGCTTGTGACAATAAACATTGTTAAACCTTTCACTTCTGTTTCCGTCTCCGTGGTGTTCTGCATAACTGGGTCTCACTAGTGAACCCATCATGACACATAAGTTGGATCAGTTATGAGCAGGTTTTGTATAAGTTATGAGGATGCTGAAGCACGCTGGCACACTTCCACATACGGCATGTTGAGAAATTTTGAGCATATTGAAAATGTATTGACGTATGCCAGCGTATGCTCATACGGGGCCATAAGTTAAGAAAGACCGCAATAAAACAGCAGTTAGGGTAATACTGCCATCAAAATGATCTTTTAATGCAGAGCGGGCACCTCCGGGCGCATCGCTGCCGCCCTCAGGATGCCTGTGCATCATTTCCTGGGCATTAAGCTGCCGTTTGTTATGCATAAATGAGGCCGTCGTTGGACAGAAGTTCTGGACTCGTTATCAATACTCTATCTTCACGCCCAACATTAAAAAATCCATAGAAAGTTCAGCGTCTGCCAGCGTTTTAGGAGATTCTGGGACGTCAGACAGACGCTGGATAAATCAGCATGGTGTGACAGGAGCTTATCCAGCTGGTTGTCTCCCCCCCCCCCTGTGAGGTTATTCATCACATTCTGCAGAGCATCACTTACGGTCTATGACCACCCCCATCTTTGGCTGGTAGTCAGAGTCAGTGAGCTGCCAGAGAGCGAAGGCCTCCCTCGGTGTGTCCTGCAGCAGCCGGAAGGTGATGCTGATGGTGTGCTCTGGAGAGAAACCAGCAGGGTGGACTAACCTGGAAAAGGAGGGAAAAAACAACAGAAACAGCAACATGCTGAGTTTTCTATCATCCAAGGAGCAGATCAGCTGTTAATCAGCCAGACAAACACAGGCTGAAACGCCTGAAGCAGCAGCCTGTTTTCCTAAAGTCTCACTTGGTGCTTTGTGTCAGCTGCACATCTCTGTACAGAGTGAAGGTGGGGAGGGTGTTAAAGACGAAGGGCTCGGCTGCCACCCCCTCCACCGATGAGTAGCCTCTCTGGGTCAGACCGAAGGCCTCCATCATGTTGTAACCTGACCAACACACCAATGAAAGCGTCAGACTCCGTAGAACATGTCTGTGTTCGTATGTGATGAGGTGGAGGAGGACGGTCACCTTTAACGATGTGGTTCTGGATGGTGACTTCAGGACAGACTGCAGGACAAGAGGACAGACAGATCGGAGACATTAAGAGATAGATAGATAGAAGATTTAATGACGGTTTAAAAAACAAACAGACTGAATGAAAGCTGCTCAGTGGGGCAGTGGGGAGCACTGCCGCCTTCAAGCAAGAAGTTCGATTCCCGGCCCGGGGTCTTTCTGCATGGAGTCTGCATGTTCTCCCTGAGCATGGTGGGTTCTCTCTGGGTACTCCGGCTCCCCCCACAGTCCAAAAACATGACTGTTAGGTTCAGTGGCTTCTCTAAATCCTCCTAAGGTGTGTGCGTGAATGTTTGTTGGTATCTGTGTGTAAAGCGTGACAGAAATGGATGAATGAAAGCAAACCTGTTTGCCTTGAACACACTGGTCTGTTTTTATCAAAGAATTGGTTTAAATGATCGGTGACTGGTTGCAGCATGACAGTCAGGCTCCGACAGCCCCAAACCTGGTGCTTAGTCCTTCTAGCAGCTGCTGAAGTCTTCATCAGATCTTTGACTGTCTGAAAGCACCATGGGAGTCACTGAAGTAGGGCTGGAAACCTCTAGACCTCCATCATCTCTGAACAACAGCTCCAGTGTATTCTCATTATCAGTTCGTATGAAATTGTACGAAAAGTTATGCACCGTAATTTTGTACGTTTTTGACGTTTTTTTCGTCGTATTTCATCGTATTTTTACATTTTGCCTCGAGACAAGATATCCTTGCGCATCTTACAATTCAATAACATAGAATTTAACATACAATTACCCTTAACCCTAAGATACCAAACAGCAAGCAACGTAGTTAGAGACATGAAGAAGTAATTATTGCACTGCTTTTCCCAGTTTTACGTCCGTCCGCGGATCTGCTTTTTTCGTCTGTCTGGCTGCGCATGCGCACTGATCTGTTTTTTCGAGGAAAAACTTCAAAAACGTACGAAATACTGTGCATAACTTCCTCCTTTAACTTTGACCACATGTGGAACAAAGAGCAGCTCAAAGCAACCAGATCCTGCTTCAGTCCAGAGAAAAAGCTTTCATTTGTTCAACGCCTGAAAAGGGAAATATTCATCTAAAAACAAACGAACATTAAAATATTTACCTTCATTGTGGACAGGATACACCCGGGGGGGGAGCCTGGCTGGAGCTGGAGCTGTGAAAGGAACCAGTATGAACCGCTGCTGGAAATAAACAGCTTTAGATATAAAGCTAATGATCTGATGGGTTCATGTCAAAAAATAAAAAATTCCCTTTCAGTCTAACAATTCTTTTCTAACTGCTTGTAAACAGATGCTGGTTTTTCCAGGATAATCTTAATTAGGGCTAAAACTAACAATTCTTTTGGTATTCGATTAATGTTAAATCGTTTTTTGATTAATCAATAGATAATTGGATAGCGAAATGTTCCTTAAAGATTTTATACAGAATCAAACCAGATGAAACTTTTCCACCTGTTGAGTTCTGAATAGAGAATATTGACAGCAGAATACGATTCTTTTTCATCTTTAATGTAAAACATTTATATATCTCTTTATAATTTAGGTTTAATTCCTGCTCTAAGTGCGTCGCTCTGTCAGCTAAAGGCACATTTTACAGTCTCTATACTCAGGTTAACTATAGTTAATGATTTATCAATTACTAAACAAGTTGATGATTATTTCAGTAATCGATTAATCTGATTAATTTGGAAAACACTAATAGAACAAATTAATCTGGCTGGTTTAGGGATTTGTAATCCCACTTCTGCTGAAAACATGAATCTGAAGCCATAGATTTGCTCTGGATTTGCTAAACTTTGAGTCACTTACTGCTTGATTGAAACCAGACTGCCAGTTTTATAAAGTTTGAGGGTGTGAATACTTCTGTGAAGCGCTGAGATTACTTCCCACCTGTAGGATGGAGAATAGAGACGGTGGCGCCCTCTGCAGGGCCGAGGAGGGCGTGCATGCTGATGCGGTACAGAGTCTGGGGCTCCAGGTGGCTGAAGCAGTAACTGCTGGTGGACCGGTCCACGGTTTGCTGCTTCGTTAGCTTGTCTGAACACAGAGCCAGACCTCACACTCATGTTCACGGTGGATAGAAAGGGAAACATGGCGGCAGAAGCTTCCAGAATTACCTTTAACAGACTGGATGACAACCCGGTACCCATCAACTGCAGAGACCGGCCTCCAGGACAGACAGATGCTGGACTGGTCCGATCGGACCACGCTGATGCTGCTCACACGCAGACTGGCTGCAGAGACAAGAGGAGGGCTACAGATCAAACCAGGAGAGAAAGCCAGAGTTTCATTTACCTACCAGCTCTGAATAAACCACAGAACAGTGGAAATATTATTTGGAGTTTTCTGATCCGAGGCGGCGACTCCCTGATGGCTGCGGCTGAGCACAGCTCCTGACAACCTGCTAACTATACATTCAGTCCAGTAGGTTAGTTTATGACCTCCACCGCCTGCTGGAGCTACGGTCATCAACTGTTTTTTCTGGACTCTAAATGGTTTAAGTAGCTTTGGGCTCATGGCCCAGAGGCCCACAATGCAGCGGACATGCCAAGCAGCCAGACCGGAGGAGGAGCAGGTGAAGATGGCGTGACAGGGGGCAAAAATGCAGCTGTCGCGTTGGGCTAACAGCGAAGCTAAAAGCAAACCCCTACAAATCGTCCCTCCCTTCAATGCTGCTCTACAATGTCCGCTGAACTAGAAAATAGATCATCTGCAACTGGAACTCTCTTCAAAGAGGGAGTTTAGTGACTACTGCGCTGTCATCCTGACCGAGACATGGCTTAACTCATCAATTCCAGACAACGCCGTTAGCCTGGAGGGGCTCATATTATACCACGCCAGTAGAAACAGCAAACTCAGTGGTAAGACCTGAGGAGGTGGGCTGTGTGTTTACATCAACAACTGCTGTAAAAAAGTTTGGTCTCCAGCTTCCGCTCTCTGGACATCGAGCTTTAGACCGTTCACTGCAGACCGTTCCATCTGCAGAGAGAGTTTACTGTTGTTAGCATCACTGCTGTGTTCCCAGCGCTAAGGCTAAAGAGGCCGTGAGTGTTCTCTATCAGACTCTCTGAGCTCCAATCTGCACCCAGGGCATTTCCATCATTGCTGGGGATTTTAACCAGGCTAAATGGAAGACTGTTCTCCTTCATATTTACCAACATGTGGACTCAGGGACAGAACACTCTGGACTCTAACATAAAAGACAAATGCAGAGCAGACCCCACCTTGGCTCGTCAGACCACCTGTCTGCATGCTAACTCCTGCATAGCGCCCCCTGCTGATCAGAGCTAAACCTACAGTGAAGCAGGTAAGGGTTTGGACTGAGGGGGCCACAGAGAAACTCCTGGAGGGTTTTAAAAGTTCTGACTGGAACATGTTTAAAGCTGCAGCTACAGATGACCCTGATGACGCACGACTGCGTCCCCAGGTTGACCACCGATCACATGGTGAAGTTTGCAGACGACACCACGGCGGTGGGCCTCATCAGAGACAACAATGACCTGGACTACAGAGAGGAGGTGGAGCAGCTGGTGGAGCAGAGATAACAGCCTGATCCTGAAGGTGGAGAAGACCAAGGAGATCATGGTGGACTTCAGGAAGAAGCGTCCTAACCACGCTCCACTGCTCATCAACAGCTCAGCTGTAGAGGTGGTCATTCATCACAGACACCCTCACCTGGACTGGAAACACCACCTCACTGGTCCAAAGGGCCCAGAAGCGCTTGGACTTCCTGCCCCCCCATCCTCCCCCCCATAGAGAGCGTTCTGAGCAGCTGTCTCACTGTGTGGTGTGGAGGCTGCAGCGCCTCAGACTGGAAGAAGGTGAGAACAGCAGAGAGGATCATGGGGGCTCCTCTTACCTCTGCGTGTCCCGAGAATAGGACCTACTGACTAAATGTTCAACGTTCTGCTGCTTTTGCACCATATTCATTTTTGCACTGAACTTTTTCATATCAATGCCCTTTTGCACCATTATTTTAAAGGTTTTTCTCCTACATTGTTCACATTCTGATCACTGCTGCACTTTATATTGCTAATGTTTATCTGCTCCAACTGCAAACTCATTACACTGTTGTAAGCTGTATGCAATGAAATTTAGTTTGGTATACACTGTCTGTATACAGAATGAAACCCCCCCCTCCCCAAAGCAAGGAGGTCCGTCCTCCATCTCCTCATCAGTGTGAGGCTCCTGAACTGAAGAGCGAGGACACAGATTATTTTTCATTTTTTGTTTAAATAAGGAGAATTCTATTTATGAACTCATGGTAAACTAATTAATCTCACTATAATTTCTGATTACTGCTGAAGCCTTACACTCTTTGACATGATTGTTAAATCGAATCTAACCTGTTCTAATCTGTTCTAATCTATCTTTAGCTAATCTAATCTTTTCTAGTCTAATCTGTCTCAGTTTATTCTAATTTAACCGGTTCTTATCGAATCTGTTCCACTCTAATCTGTTGTAAACTATTGTAATTTAACCTTACCCAATCTAATCTCTTCAAGTCCAACCCATTCCAATCTAAACTGAACTGTTCTAATCTAATAAGTTCTAATGGATTCCAATCTGACCTGTTTTAGTCTAATCTGTTGTAATCCTGTTTAATCCAATCAGAAGCTGTTCTCTGAGGCGTACCGGTTTTGCCCTGAGCCGAGCCGCTGCCTCCCTCTTGGTTGCGATACTCTGCGGTGACTAAGACGCTGTAACGTGTATCCGGCTGTAATGAGTCCAGCACCACCCGCTTCTGACCACCTGGGACCAACACCTGGAGACAACATAGCAGTCCTTCTAGGCTCTAAACGCAGGACAGATCTCAGGGTTTGATGGGTCTGGTCTCAGAGGAGCCACTCACAGTCCTGTCCGGGGTCTCGGCTCCCGTCAGGGGGGCGTAAGTCACACGATACTGGAGGACGTGAGCGTTCGGAGGCACCCAGCTCACCGCCATGCTGACTGCAGTTTCCTCTGAGATGGACACGCTGGACGGGCCTCCGCCTGACACTGCAGCAACAGAAAACACATCACAGGTTCTCACTGCCTGCCCACGACACAAACACAAGAAATCATTCTGACAAATAAGCTGTTTGGAAAAACTGATTTATTCATCTGACAATGGTTAGAAGTCATGTATGTCCTCATGCATGGTGGTTTACTGTTAAAAAGTGTACAGAGCTGACTGTATCAGAAGCACTGTTCAACAACAAGCTGAGCACTAATCAACAACAAGAGAAAACTGCAGAAAGTTGCTTGTTTTTGATATCAGCTGTTTGTTCATATGAGAAAAGCCCATGAGAGCACGCTCTCCAAAACACAAATCTATTGAAGTCATGTCAGGGAGGTAATATAAGCCCCGCCCATTTCTCCTCCACCACCTGCAGGTGTGACGTCAACTTGCTGCCATTACTAATCAACTGTGTGGAAAGTAAAGATGTGGAACCGTCCCGCTTAAATTCGGTGCTCTGATGTTGGCTGCAAACGGGGGCTATTCTAACAATCAGGGTCTGCCTGCAGAGCACTAACTAACTGCTTTACCCTTTTAATTAATATGTAAGCCCCTGGGAATGTTGCTAACACTACATCTCCATGCAGTGTACAGATTTCTATCATATACTGACTTCTTTTTTGATAATCTGCTATGTGGACGTCTGTAAACTGCTCTACATGTTTTTATTTTTCTGTGCTTTTGTTTAGGCTACAGTATTGTGATTTCCCACTGCTGTGAGGAAGGCCTGCATTCCACCATGTCGGTCTTTCTGGTTCCGACTGGCTGAATCTGAAAGCCTCAGTCGTATCGGCCGTGTAACACTGTGCCAGCCCCCATAGCGGCTCTGTTCTTCCTGAACAACCAACACCTTGGTAACAGAAATGCAGAGTTCATGAATGCACAGACACACAAGCCAGACTATCAGGGGGAAAAGGAAAGGGTTAAAAAGGGGGGGGGGGGGTTAAATCAGCTCTATTTAGAAATGATTCTCATAATGATTCAACACGAATTTGATAAAAATGTCAGAATGATTATTTATGCAAAATACCAAATGATGCTCTTTTAATGGATCAATAAGTAATACAGACATGAAAGGATGAACCAGTCTTTAACCATCACATATCTTTAAAGACAGAAAAAAGATTTTTAGCAGCAGAGATAATCAGACCTTCAGCCTAGTGATGAACGGATAAAGGATCAGATTCCTAAAGTTCTGAGACTTTCTCTGCTTTGGTCCTTTAGAGCATTTGATCGTAGCATGAATCTCCCTCTCAGTCAAAAGTATTGATGATTGCCCAAAAGTGAAACGTAAATAACTACAGAAAAGGATCAGGGCCACTGAAAAGAAAAAAAAAAGTTAGCTGATTTTTTATCTGGAGTTCAAGATGTAAAAAAGTTAGAATTCTGATTTTTTTTTTACCATATTAAAATAAAATAAAGAATCAGTTACTTATTAAATTGTTTTTACAGTGTCCCTAATCCTCTTCCCTGAATAATATTATAGAAATTAAAAGTATTTTCCAAAATGTTTTAACCTGAGCATTTAATCTTTGGCATTTTATTTATCCAGTCTGTTCTCTGCATCCAGACTGTTCTCTACATCTGGACTGTTCTCTACATCCAGACTGTTCTCTACATCCAGACTGTTCTCTACATCCAGACTGTTCTCTACATCCAGACTGTTCTCTACATCCGGACTGTTCTCTACATCCAGGCTGTTCTCTACATCCGGTCTGTTCTCTACATCCAAACTGTTCTCTACATCCAGGCTGTTCTCTACATCCAGACTGTTCTCTGCATCCAGACTGTTCTCTACATCCGGTCTGTTCTCTACATCCAAACTGTTCTCTACATCCAGGCTGTTCTCTACATCCAGACTGTTCTCTGCATCCAGACTGTTCTCTACATCCGGTCTGTTCTCTACATCCAAACTGTTCTCTACATCCAGACTGTTCTCTACATCCGGACTGTTCTCTACATCCAGACTGTTCTCTACATCCAGACTGTTCTCTACATCCAGACTGTTCTCTACATCCGGACTGTTCTCTACATCCAGGCTGTTCTCTACATCCGGTCTGTTCTCTACATCCAGACTGTTCTCTACATCCAGACTGTTCTCTGCATCCAGACTGTTCTCTACATCCAGACTGTTCTCTACATCCGGACTGTTCTCTACATCCAGACTGTTCTCTGCATCCAGACTGTTCTCTACATCCGGACTGTTCTCTACATCCAGACTGTTCTCTGCATCCAGACTGTTCTCTACATCCGGTCTGTTCTCTACATCCAAACTGTTCTCTACATCCAGGCTGTTCTCTACATCCAGACTGTTCTCTGCATCCAGACTGTTCTCTACATCCGGTCTGTTCTCTACATCCAAACTGTTCTCTACATCCAGACTGTTCTCTACATCCAGACTGTTCTCTACATCCGGACTGTTCTCTACATCCAGACTGTTCTCTGCATCCAGACTGTTCTCTACATCCGGTCTGTTCTCTACATCCAAACTGTTCTCTACATCCAGGCTGTTCTCTACATCCAGACTGTTCTCTGCATCCAGACTGTTCTCTACATCCGGTCTGTTCTCTACATCCAAACTGTTCTCTACATCCAGACTGTTCTCTACATCCGGACTGTTCTCTACATCCAGACTGTTCTCTACATCCAGACTGTTCTCTACATCCAGACTGTTCTCTACATCCGGACTGTTCTCTACATCCAGGCTGTTCTCTACATCCGGTCTGTTCTCTACATCCAGACTGTTCTCTACATCCAGACTGTTCTCTGCATCCAGACTGTTCTCTACATCCAGACTGTTCTCTACATCCGGACTGTTCTCTACATCCCGGCTGTTCTCTACATCCGGACTGTTCTCTACATCCAGGCTGTTCTCTACATCCGGTCTGTTCTCTACATCCAAACTGTTCTCTACATCCAGGCTGTTCTCTACATCCGGTCTGTTCTCTACATCCAGACTGTTCTCTACATCCAGACTGTTCTCTACATCCAGACTGTTCTCTGCATCCAGACTGTTCTCTACATCCGGTCTGTTCTCTACATCCAAACTGTTCTCTACATCCAGGCTGTTCTCTACATCCGGTCTGTTCTCTACATCCAAACTGTTCTCTACATCCAGGCTGTTCTCTACATCCAGACTGTTCTCTACATCCAGGCTGTTCTCTACATCCGGTCTGTTCTCTACATCCAAACTGTTCTCTATATCCAGGCTGTTCTCTACATCCGGTCTGTTCTCTACATCCAGACTGTTCTCTACATCCGGTCTGTTCTCTACATCCAAACTGTTCTCTACATCCAGGCTGTTCTCTACATCCAGACTGTTCTCTACATCCAGGCTGTTCTCTACATCCGGTCTGTTCTCTACATCCAAACTGTTCTCTACATCCAGGCTGTTCTCTACATCCGGTCTGTTCTCTACATCCAGACTGTTCTCTACATCCAGACTGTTCTCTACATCCAGACTGTTCTCTACATCCAAACTGTTCTCTACATCCAGGCTGTTCTCTACATCCGGACTGTTCTCTACATCCAGACTGTTCTCTACATCCAGACTGTTCTCTACATCCGGTCTGTTCTCTACATCCAGGCTGTTCTCTACATCCGGACTGTTCTCTACATCCAGGCTGTTCTCTACATCCGGTCTGTTCTCTACATCCAGACTGTTCTCTACATCCAGACTGTTCTCTACATCCGGACTGTTCTCTACATCCAGACTGTTCTCTACATCCAGACTGTTCTCTGCATCCGGACTGTTCTTGGACTGAAAACAGGCCAAGCTCCAACATCTAGAAACAAAGGTGTTGATGGCAGCAGCACAGCTGATATTTCTCCCCAGGATATAGTATTAGATGAGTATCTGTTAGGAGCATTTTCATTGGCTATCACTTTATAGCTGATTAATCCCAGCTTTTATTTCTAAGGTAAGTAGGCAGGGTCTCACTGCTCAGCAGGAGATCAGAGCTGAACATTAGACTAAAGATGTGTGGCTTTTGGTCAGCAGAGCTATTTATAATCTGGGCTCAGCTGACTGCCAGAATAAAAATGAGACTTACAGGTACTGTATCGAGTGGCCACTGCCTCGCTCTGAGCTCCATCTCCATACAGAGCAGACAGAGAGATCTGGTATTCCTTATCCTCCTCCACACCCCCCAAGATGGCCTCCTTACTGTCTCCGCCCACCTTCAGCTGAAACACAAGCAGCAAACATCTCAACACCTCAGTCCCTGATCAGATCCAAACACGTTTCCAGAGGCTTGTCAGCCAGCATGGAACGCTCCAACCTCACCTGCCGCAGATCTCCCTCACTTAAGGAGATCCATTTAATGAGGTAATAGACCACATCGTCTGCCGCCGCCTCCCAGCGCACCGCCATTTCACTGCCTGAGAAGTTAGTCACCCTGAGATCCGATGGAGAAGGAACCTTCACTGGCAGAGAGGAGAAGGTGATGAGGAAACCTCCAGCAGAAGAAGCAGAGTCTGGATGAGAGTTTGTGTATGTTGGCTCACGTGTTGTGACGTTACTGGTGAGTGGGGCGGAGAGGCCTTGTGGGTAACGAGACTGGACTGAAACCAGGTATGTGGACAGAGATGCAAGGCTTTGAACCAGCACAGAGTTCTGTCCCTCTACCTCCACCTGGACCAATCACACAAAACATGTCGCACAAGCTGAATTATGATCCATCACAGAGTCGCTCTATAGACGCTCAGCAGTGATTGGACAGCAAGCAAAGGAAATATAATGCAGAAATGTCCAGAACTAAACATTCCTGCTGTTAAAGTGCTGAATGGAACACATCAGAACGACTGTTACCCAAAGGTGTTCCTCAGTTCTGCTATCATGACCGTTATTTAGGATTTATATCAGTAAACGTTCCAAAAAAAGAAAATTAAAAACAATCTGGACTTTGTTCCCAAGTTTGAAGATATTTTGCTTCCCATCCAAGAACCGGACATAGACAGGTATGGGGCATTGCAGGCTAACAAAAGCCAAACGACCCCCATTCCAAAGGGGGGGACCCGTTCATCCGTTTCTATTTGCATGTTTTCTAAACTAAAACCAGGCTTTGTTGGGCTGCTGGATAAAACCTGGAACTAAACGCTATTTCTGACATTTTGGATTGAAAAATCTTCCTGGATGGAAGAGAAACGTCTTCAAACTTGGAAACAAAGTCCAGAGGATTGATTTTAAATTTGTTTTGGAATTACTCTGACCTGGATTGACTGAGAATCTCCACCAACATACCAATAAACATGTTAAAATAAAAGGTAAACCCTTGTTTAGCTTTTTATCTATCTTTCAAAGTTCTCACTAATCTTTTGTAATTATAAAGCTGGATGTTTGAGATTAAAATGAACTTAATAATGTATTTATTTTGCTTTCAATCCAATCTGTCTCTCCCAGGACTGTGTCTCCTCAAATAACTCAAAGTTTTGGCCTCATGACCTGGAAACTAGAGCTAGAGACTCATTTCTAATGTTGTGTTTAAGACACAAACACATGATCAAGCCCACCTGAGGAGCAGAGAGAGAATCGCTGCTTATGGTGTTCTAGGATGTATCCGACACACGTCTGCAGGGCCAGATGGACCAGCTACTACAACCAACAGGTAAACTGGCAGCAAATCAGTAATATGAATTACTGTTCAATAAATGATCAGTGTTTTTAATTCAGAGTAATTTTCATGTGAATGTGCTTTACTGGAGGCATCCATGTTTGTCAAAGAACACTACTGCCACCTACTGGTTAGTGACATTGTCACGGTGCGGTATCGGCTGTTGATCAAGTCCCAGTGCTGTATCTGGTGTTTGTCACAACGCGCTATTATCCAAGTCATCTTGAAAACATTCTTCTTCCAAATGTTGGCTACATATTACGGGTTTTTTCTCTGGCCAGAAGTTCGATGGCAAATCCTCCCTCTTCAAGTTGGCGATCCAACGACCAACCCGTCCGTGGAGGATCAGGAATCAGAAAGGTGGAATAACTCTTTTTTTTTTTTCCCTTTTACCCGATGTATTCCAGCATCCAGCTGCCATGCACGTGGGCATTGTCAGTTTCACTATAGCTCTGGTGAATTTCAATGGTGAAGTCCTCTGGAAATCTTCAATAATTGTTGTTGATTGCAGATGTGTCTAGTAGTTCCCATTGATTTAGCTTGGAAAGCGGGGAGAATGGCGCTAGGCTTACCGCACCGTGACGTCACTGCTGGAAGATGGCAGGAGGGAGGGGCTACTATATTTGGGCAAAGATGGCCGCTCCCAGACTCAGTGATCGTGATGAAAATTATTAGGCCCGAGCAGCTTCAGCGCTGCGAAGGCCTATTGTTCCTGTATCGTTTGTTATTAGGCCCGAGCAGCTCACCGCTGCGAGAGCCTATTGTTCCTGTACCCTTTATTAGGCCCGAGCAGCGACAGCGCTGCTGCGAGAGCCTATTGTATCTGTAGTGTTTATTATTTTTCTCCTTACAAATAAAATGGCTTTTTGGAGACTTTATCATATTCCAAAACTCACCAAACTTTGCAGACGCATCAGACCTGGTGAAAATTTACGTATTTTAATGGCCCCGTAAAAATTGCTAACCAGATGCCTCAACAGCGCCCCCTTAAAATTTTCAAAATACCCTCCCCATTGACCTTTTTTCTCATAGAGACATGAAAATTGGCACACTTGTAGAGCGTCCTCACACTTACAAATAAGTCAATTAACGTCATACTAAATTATGCTCAGGGAGTCCGCCATCTTGGATCAAATTTCAAATTTTGACTGTGATTTTGCATTTTTAGCCTCTATATTTGATCGAACTCCTCCTAGGGACGGTGAGCCATCGGCTTCAAACTTGGCATGTATGCAGATAAGGCATGTGAGATCTAAACTTATCAAACCGTTTGAGTTTTCCAGCATTTTAAAGGGGTGTGGCCAGGCCTCGAAGTTGGCGTACTCGCCAACGCTTTTCGAAGCGCAATAACTTTTACATATAAACGTGAAATGTCATGAAACTTGGTAGTATTAATCCTCTCTGGGTTCCCAACAAAACTGTATATTAAAACTTTTACATGATTGAAGCCACGCCCCATGAGAACCGGAAGTCACGTTTTTTACTTGGAATGGTCCCTCTCTGTCCTACTTGACCTCATCAACCTAAAACTGTGTCAGCAGACAGACAACATGTTGTCCTAACTTCGTTTAAGGCACAGAGAGCTTTAGTCAAATGGTGTTGCTGTGGCGCCATGGCGAAGTGAGGCGTTTCGCCATGAAAATACGATTGGCTCTCATTTCCTTATTAATAATCAGATCTGCACCAAAATCACAAGAGATGATCCTAGTCCAACTCCAAACAGGAATCCAGAGCAATATTTTGTGGGCAGGGCTTAATTTTCCTACAGCGCCCCCTAGAAATAACAAACTTCAAACCACCAGCCCCAAGCCGTTTTTAGTCCTAGAATATTGAGACTTTGACCACATTTGCACCTCATCAGGCCCTAACTAAAAGCCTCTTGGACCCATGGTCTAAACCCCACCGGAAGTCGGCCATTTTGAATTACATTTAACTCTATTGTGAAAGCACTGACCTCTTTTCAAAAAATTGTATAAAATCAGTATTTTATCCAAATGAGCTAAAACTTTCAAAATACGTTCTTTACAAAGCCTGTTGTAAGCTGGTTACAATAGCAAAGCGCTTCTTTAAAGTCCGTCACTCTGATTTTTCAAAAGTTTGCGTTCTCGCCTAGTAGTTGGCCAAGTGGACAGATAATGCCAGGAAATAATTCAGCCCCTAGCCATGCTCATTCCTAGGATAATGAAATTTGGTATACATCTGTATGAGCCCCCCACCTACAAAAAGTTTAATTGGAGCCATCGTCTAAACCTCTCATGAAGTCGGCCACTTTTCGAATATATTCCTTTCATTGCTTCTTGTTTGATGGTAAACACCGCATAGCTCTTCTTGAAAGTCCGTCACTCTGATTTTTCAAAAGTTTGTGTTAACAGGAAATTGTTGTTTCTCAAAAAGTTTTATAGCAATCGTAGCCAAATTTGGAACAGTTATTTATCCTTTGATTATAGAAAAGACTGCCAAGTTTGGCATGAATCTATGCATGTTTGTGCATGTTATGGGGTTTTCCACTGCCGCAGTATATGGCTTTCAAGTTTAAAGATTTTTCTTTCTTTAAATTATTTATTAAATCATCTAAAAAAAAATCTAGGACATGCAAGAAGCATTCCTTGACATTTGTGATTTTTGGGGGGATTTTATTGCAAACTATGGATTTTTTAATTATTTTTTTTTGTTTTGAGTAGGGTGTAATACCGCTAACCGTGGGTTTTGGCAGTGCTGTTTCTCCATCTTTTGAATATATACTTTTGACCCACCAACTGAGATTGCTACAGCAAATATCTGACAGATGAGATTCATCCCCAGATACTATCTTTTATCCCTAGTTTAACCCTTCCTGACCAAAGCTGTGGTTGTCTCCGGCTGGTCCAGAGGTGAAGCATGGCACTTTTTCCGCTGGCTGGGAAGGAGCAAGGGGGCAGCGGTCGCTCACCTCCCGCGGTCGCGATAGGCCGAGTGGGGAAAGAGGAGAATGAAGAGGAGCAGCACAGGGTGATGAAGAGGATGAGGGGAAGCAGCAGCAGGCATAGGCTGAAGAGCAGGAGAATAGGCTGGGAAGGAGCGTGGAGCCGGCGGTCGCTTGGTTCCCGCGGTCGCGACATACCAGGCGGTGCGAGCTGCGAGGGCCGTCAATACCGCTCGCGGTTTTAATTCTTCTTTTTCTTATTTTTCTCCGCTTAAAAGAAACAGCATTTTGGAGGCTTTAGCATGTTCAAAAACTCACCAAACTTGGCAGTAAATTGTCCCCCTAGTGAAATTTACGTATGATAATGGAATCCAAAATGGGCGTGGCCAAATGGCTCTACAGCGCCCCCTAACGTGAGTTGGGGAAAACCGTAAGTGACAGAGATTTGAGATTTGGCAGGTGCATAGATCTCACCAAATCATGAAAAAAGTTACATTATGGGTATGCTCTAAAACCTACAGGAAGTCGGCCATTTTGGCTCAAAGGCCGATTTTTGGCACTTTTTCAATTTTGTTGATGTCGAACTTTCGCGAACTCCTCCTAGGGACGGTGAGCCATCGGCTTCAAACTTGGCATGTATGCAGATAAGGCATGTGAGATCTAAACTTATCAAACTTTTTGAGTTTTCCAGCATTTTAAAGGGGTGTGGCCAGGCCTCAAAGTTGGCGTACTCGCCAACATTTTCAAAATGCAATAACTTTTACATATGAAACTAAAATGACACGAAACCTGGTAGTATTAATCCTCTCTCGGTTCCCAACAAAACTGTATGTTAAAACTGTTACATAATTGAAGCCACGCCCCCTGAGAACCGGAAGTCACGTTTTTTACTTGGAATGGTCCCTCTCTGTCCTACTTGACCTCATCAACCTAAAACTGTGTCAGCAGACAGACAACATGTTGTCCTAACTTCGTTTAAGGCACAGAGAGCTTTAGTCAAATGGTGTTGCCGTGGCGCCATGGCGAAGTGAGGCGTTTCGCCATGAAAATACGATTGGCTCTCATTTCCTCATTTATAATCAGATCTGCACCAAAATCACAAGAGATGATCCTAGTCCA